GTCCACTCAGCCGTCAGGCCCGCCTATGTGGCGCCTGACGGCCCTACGTAATTAGCACTTAATTGTGCTAGCAGGGTTGAGCTTTGGCTCTTTGGTCCCGCCTCTCAACTGTCAATCAACAGGTGTACAAATTCCTGAGCCTACTGGGCTCAATCATATCTACATTTGAAACTGTGCATGGAGTCAGTAAACTGTGTATCCACCACATCACTTCCTAGTGCATTCCATTTATTAACTACTCTGACACTGAAAAGTTTTTTCTAACGTCTCTGTGGCTCATCTGGGTACTAAGTTTCCACCTGTGTCCCCTTGTTCGTGTCCCACCCGTGCTGAAGAGTTTGTTTTTGTCCACCCTGTCAATTCCCCTGAGAATTTTGAAGGTGGTGTGTGTGTGTATGTGTGTGGTCTCACCTAGTTGTATTCACCTAGTTGTGCTTGCGGGGATTGAGCTTGATCTTTCGGCCCGCCTCTCAACTGTCAATCAATCAACTGTTACTAACTACTAACTAACTTCCACTCCCCCCCCCCCACACACACCCAGGAAGCAGCCCGCAGCAGCTGTCTAACTCCCAGGTGCCAATTTACTGCTAGGTGGACAGGGGACATCAGTGTGAAAGAAACTCTGCCCATTTGTCTCCGCCATCGCCGGGGATCGAACCCCTGTCCCCAGGAGTACGAGTCCTGAGTGCTGTCCACTCAGACGCCAGGCGCCTTGATATCAGCCACTCAGTGTGCATGTGTGATCAGGTTATCGTATCTGCACAAAATGTTTATCATAACTGATGCTTTTTGCAATTGCAAGTCGCAGCAGAGTATAATAACGATGTACTGAGGAACGAAAACGAGGAATTGTATTGTCCTAACATATAGGACATGCAAGTGTCAACTTGGTGAAGAGAGAGAGAGACAGAAAAATGACATATTCCCCAATTATAAAATCTATATATAAAGACAATATCATGTGCTATAAAAAATGCAAGTAATTAAACATAGAGTTAATTAAGTTCTTTTAACTATGAACAAAAACAAACAAAAATACACGAGATCGCGAATTACATTTAAAATGAAAAATATTTTATTCATAAAATCAAGCGATTAAAAATTTAACAAAAACGCGATTAAATGTAACAGCCAAAACTAACACCAATTTAACAGCGAAAAACAGAATTGAATGTGCAATGAAATTTATCTTTTAATAAAATCTGCAAAGT